GTTATCTGTTCCTCTAAAACCTGATAAAATAGACTTGTCAACTATGTCGTTAGGCAACATTACTCATATTAGAGCAATTACTTGATTGGTAAATTGCATTTGGCCTGGCAAAACTGTAATTACCCGATGGCAGAGCATAGCTTTGGGCTTTCCTGAGTGTGAAAACTCTTTAATTGGCCCTGGTGGGCCCCTGGAAGCTCTGCCTGTGAGGTGGGTACAAGAAAGACTGGCTCCTGAGGGCTGTGCGTCTTCTAAGTCAGGGCAGCTGCCAAGGGAAGCTGGTGTGAGTCTTCTTTCCTTGCACCTGAGCTGTCACGTGGCGGCAGGCAGGTGAGGAGGGAGCGGCTGTGTGATCGCTTTGTAGATGATTACAAGCGCTCCCGGGGAGGGGGCACACCTAATTCTGCTGTGCTCCAAGCAGTCGTTCCTTCCAAATGAATCCGGTGCTCCATGTGGCCCATGGTAGTCTTAGCGAATCTCCATGTTGAGTTGTACCGAAGAAGTTGTACCCCTGGTGGATGTTGCATGTGGTGATACAGTTTATTATATAGAAAAAGCTATATACAAAAAGGCTGATTGGATAGAATCACGTAGGATAATCAATCTGAGTGGGAACTACACCTGTGAGGAATCTGATTTCTATCATGAGTTCATAATACTGTGTGTTTCCCTGTTCCCTCTTGTGATAGTTGCAAATATGGGGCCAGGAGAGTATGTGTACACCTCTGTGTCATGAGCCTGGGAAGCCCAAATCTATACACTGGTATCAGGCATTTCACAAGAGTGGAGAGATCAATTTGTTGTTTCACTTATTTATGCATTCACTGATTCATTGGCTGTTTCTTGTATGTGCCCTGACCAGAGATCAAACCCGAAACCTTGGCGTATTGGACGACACTCTAACCAATGAACTATCCAGCCAGGGCTTTGAACCTCATTTTTAGTGACTTGCAACCCCCTTTATAAGTAGATCCACAAAGGGCTACACCAGTGGTTCTCAACCTTCCTCATGCTGCGACCCTTTAATACAGTTCTTCATGTTGTGGTGACCCCCAACCATAAAATTATTTTCATTGCTACTTCATAACTGTAATGTTGCTACTGTTATGAATCGTAATGTAAATATCTGATATGCAGGATGTATTTAGGCGACGCCTGTGAAAGGGTCGTTCGACCCCCAGGTTGAGAACTGCTGGGCTACACAAACCTAGTCCCAGTGTCCTTGGTGGGTTAGCGTACCTGTTACTCCAACCGGCCAGTGTGGGAGGCATCTTTCAAGTTGCAGAGAACATCTGTCTGTGTCAAAACTGACTGGAGAGTGATTGGGAGTCAGAACCTCCTCTTCTGGTCTCTTTTGTTTTGAAGAAGGAGGCCTCTCCTACTCCCCACCTTCACATCTTGTGAGTAAAACAATGCTTCTCACAGGAAAATACATTATTTCCAATTCACTTATACCTTCAAAAGCATAAGAAAAACTCCCATTAGCATTCTTTGTGACCGTGTAGATACATCATAACATCACTTGAACCCTATAAAAGACCACTACAGGATCAGTACCTGACAGTTTATTTTATTTTATTTTTTAATAAAAATATATTTCTTTATTGATTTCAGAGAGGAAGAGGGAGAGAGAGATAGGAACATCAGTGATGAGAGAGAATCATTGATTGGCTGCCTCCTGCATGCCCCCGACTGGGGATCGAGCCTGCAACCCGGGCATGTGCCCTTTGCCGGAATCGAACCCGGGACCCTTCAGTCCGCAGGCCGATGCTCTATCCACTGAGCCAAACTGGCTAGGGCAGGACCTGACAGTTTTAGATTATAGTATTAGTGGGGTGGTAGGGGAGAGGTGGACCTTAGTCCTATAGGTATTTATTCTTCAGAAACAAATTTATAGAGCTGGAAAACCTGGTCCGAGAGCTTTAAATTGTCATAATAAACCTGTTGATTTGGGTCAGATAGGGTGTCCTTTAAGTTTTCTTTACATTCTCTTATTTTAAACTTCATTAGATTAAAAAATACAAAAATGCCCTGACTGGTTTGGCTCAGTGGATGGAGCATCAGCCTGCAGACTAAAGGGTCCCAGATTCGATTCGAGTCAGGGACATGTACCTTGGTTGCCAGCACATTCCCAGTGGGGAGTGTGCAGGAGGCAGCTGATCGATGTTTCTCTCTCATCGATGTTTCTAACTCTCTATCCTTCTCCCTTCCTCTCTGTAAAAAATCAATAAAATATATTTTTTTAAAAATACGAAAGTAATGTGTTCTTTGGTGATGAGTTAAACAGCAGAGAGATTCATAAAGAAAAATAAACATCTATCCTCAATGTCACCCTTTTAAAAGTTCAGTGTTTGTCTTTCTACTTCATTTTCTGTGCTCACACAAGTACATATAAAGACATATGTGTCGTGTAGAATAGTTTGTTTTGACTTCAAGCTGGATATGTTACTCTGCAATTTCTCCTTTTCACTTAACACATTATGGACACATCTACAAGTTCTCACATATAGATCTAATTCATTGCTTTTATTTTATTTTTAAAAATATATTTTATTGATTTTTTACAGAGAGGAAGGGAAAGGGATAGAGAGTTAGAAACACTGATGAGAGAGAAACATTGATCAGCTGCCTCCTGCACACCTCCTACTGGGGATGTGCCCGCAACCAAAGTACATGCCCTTGACCGGAATCGAACCTGGAACCTTTCAGTCCACAGGTTGATGCTCTATCCATTGAGCCAAACCGGTTAGGCTAATTCATTACTTTCAATAATAGCATAATATTCTAATAACTATTAGCTCTTTTTCTATTGGTGAACATTCAGGCTGTTTCCTTGTTTCTTTTTTAAAATCACTACCAACAAAATTGCAATAGATATTAATGTACATAGAAATCCATATTGGTGCATTTATTTTTGGACAAATTGTAGGAATCTCTCGGTCAATAATATGTGATGCGCACTATTAATTTCAATACTTACTTTCCCAAAAGGTTGTAGCAGTTAATGCTTCTGCCCCTTCCCCAAATCTTTGCCTGTCCTGGATGTTAGCAATCTTTTTCATTTCTGCCAATCTGAGGATGAAAAATACCTTTAACTGTTCTCTCCTATGCTCCCCACCCCCCAATCTATTCTCCACTCTGCAGATAGTGATCGTTTTGAAAAACAAATTTTACTACATCACCTCCCTGCTCAAAATTCTCCACTTATTTTCTGTCATTCTTAGAATAAAGGCCAATATCTTTGACATGAAAAAAAAAAAACAACACCTTGTGGTCTAATGGTCTACCTGCCTATCAGGAGGGCTTTTCTCCCAATAGGAAGGGCCTTCCCCAGGTCGAACTCTACTGAGAAATTATGATGACATATTAGCTTGTTTGCCGGAACAAGCCTCATAGGGCGTTACGCTTTTTAAAATGTGACTAACTTATGCCTGAAAGGAATAATTATTTCTATATTATGTGCCTTGATGGAAGTGTTTTTCCAGTTGCTTGGGGCAGACCATTTAGAGTAAACAGGGAAACGAAGGACTTGTCAAAAGAAAAAAAAAAAAACATGTTAGGGCGACACCTTGGCTCCCAAGGAATAGGCAGAAAGTCTGATGGTAAATGTAGGGGGTTTTTGCTTCTCTTGTTTTTAAGTTGGACTTTTAAAGCAGAAGCTGCCTTTAATGTGCTGGTGTGCAGAACAGGAAATCTGATTTTTCGGTGTGATAACACATTCTTTGACATTAACCCGGACGGTTGGATTGTTAATGACACTTTCATCTTCAAAGCCCTTCACCATCACGGGTGGATTAATTATTCGTTTTTTTGGGTTTGTGTTAAAAAGTCTTCAAAGCCTTCATCCTTTCCTCCTTGGAATTGGAGCTCTTCAACCTTTCAAATGTTGCTTTCCTGCCCCCAAGGGAGACAATAAATTGCCTCTTTTTTTTTTTAAAGACAAAAAGAATACAATAGAAATATACTCTTTACACTATGGAAAGCTGATGTCCTTATATCCTGGGTGGGATTAGAAGAGGTCGGAAAGCAGTGTTTAAACTGTGTTTACAGTAAGCACTGTGAGATGTAACTCTGGCGAAGAGTGTTTGTTACCGCTCGGGCTTTTGATGTGCTCCTGGAAAGTGCCACAGCTACCGAGAGCACCCTGCGTTCGCCATAGTGGAGCCTAATAGGTGAGTGTCGCTCAAGTATTATTCCAATTCCTGTCCCCTTCAAACAGTGCCTAATGGGGTATTTTTAACGACTTGGTTTTGGAGAAGAAAACCCTCAAGCCTTTCCTCCGGGGTCCTCCTGGATTTGACACATTGTATAACCACAAGGGAGCAGTCTTTTCTTTTGATGAGGTCTTCTCTCCACCTCCCCCAAAATGAAAGAGCAAGTGCAAGTTTGCAAACAGTCTCAAAGCCCTTTCCATTAGCCCTGGACGCCGGAAACCACAAAGGGCAGTTCAAGTTGTGATTTTCAAGGAGAAAGCCTCCGGGAAACTTTCGCTCCGCCGCCAGGAGGCCTGTCGGTTCCTGGGAGGAGCCCTTCTGAATCCGCGAGGATTCCTCGGCTCTTGAAGACCCAGATCAGTGGATTACAGTAATTGCAAACCTCGGGTGGCTTCGGAAGATTACTCTGTTTGGTGTGCGCTCACATTTCCAGGCTGGGGGACCGAGCGGAGGAACCCCTTTTGTTACCTTTTTGAAAGAAGAAGATCAGAGAGGAAGACGAGGTTTGAAGTGCGGATTAGGGGTCCTAAATCTTGGCCCGGCACCTCCGTCTGGAACTTTATAAGGAGACTGAGGCGTGCACTGGCTTTACGGAATCATGCACAGTTTCCCGGGAGCGTGTTCTGGAACTGAGCTTCGGGGCTCAGAAACGTCTCCCCACACAGACCTTCCGTGCCAGGCAGTCTGAATGCACCATCCTCTCCGCTTTGAAGATTTGGAGCCTCGTTTTCTGCCGAGACATTAACTTCTTGGTTGATCTGTT